TCTGGACAAGAGTGCTAAGAAGCTTTATGAAAAAGTTGATACATTCCTGATAGAGGCTATTAAATGAACAAAGGTGGAATAATGGTCCAGCCACCCTAGGAGGTGGCTATTCCCTTCTATCAATATGGCCTGGGAGCAGGTATAATTCACACCTATAATCCTAGCTACTCAGGAGGCTGAGATCTGAGGATTGCAGTTCAAAGCCAGCCTGGGCAGGAAAGTCTATGAGACGCTTATTTCCAATTAATCACCATGACATAACTGGAAATGGAGCTCAAAGTGGTAGAGTGCTCTCGAGCAAAAAAAAAAAAGAGCTGGGAGACAGGACCCAGGCACTGAGTTCAAGCCCCATGACAACCAAGACAAAAAAGAATATTACCTGGGCAAGCAAGATGCAATATTAGAGACTTGGTAGTTACGCAATGCCAGTAAGTTAAAACAGACTTTGTGACACTTTTCCAATCAAATCCTCCTCTCAAAAGTTGCAAGACTTCCCCACACCTCCTGACCTGCCCAGACTTGTAGTTGCTGCCCAGGGAGATAAGGCTCTTCCCCAAACATAAGCTTCAAGATCTCGTAGGCCTAATAGAGCTATTCTTTCCCTTCTTCCTTCATCCTCTGCCTTCCTGGCATCCTCTGCCCCTCACCTCCATTCTATAGGACTCCATGTCAGCAAGCAGGTCCCATCCCGTGCCCTCCTCTGGGGAGCCAGGGCTTCTGCCCTGTGGGGCCTGTGACATGGCTTTTCGCTCGGGGGCCTTGTTGGCCACCCACACCCAGCGCTTCTGCATTGGCCGCTTGAACCAGGCGCTAACTCTTGGAGCACAGCCTTCAGCAGCCACTGAACCCCGGGGCCCCGCGGTAAAGGCTGTGTCTGTAGCAGGGGGTGGAAGAGAGACTGGTGGATGGTTGGGGGGCAGGGGGGTGGAGGCGGGCGGGGAGTTGGTCCAACAAGCTGGACTCGGGTTTCTTCACTTTGCCCTGTCCCCAGGATGTGTCTCAGGAACCCGGAGGCAACTCCTATCAAGAGATGGGCAAATCTGCTCTACAGAATTTAACAGAACAGGTAAGTCCCAATCCAGCCCTTCCTAAATCTACAATTTTGGGGCGTCCTCCTCCCGCTCGTGCCTGAGATGCTCGCGGATCACTGTTTCCTCCAGGTGCAGTCTCTGCGGCGGTCCATACAGCAGCTGGGGCCCTGGGTACCACAAGCCGCCGCGGAGGCTGCGGGGAGCCCTGGCGAGCGGCTGCGTGCGCTGCAGGGGACTCGCGCCCAGCGCGTGGTGGAGATGGAAGCGCAGGGCCGGGTCCTGGAGCGCCGTGGGGATGGTGAGCGAGTTCGAGGCTAGAGAACAGCCTGCCTCTGCGGCTGCCCCGGAACTATTCTTACCTCTGTTCCCTACTTCCTCGATGTCTCAGAACTAAAACAGCGTCTTCAAGCTGTAGCCCTGGCCCGGGGCAGGACGCAGCGCCTATTCAGCCTGGAGCGGGAGCTTCGAGAACTTAGGGCCGAGGCCTGGCGGACGCAGGGGGCGCTGCAGGCGCTGGGGACCCGTGTCGAGGAGCTACAGCCCCAGACAGGGTGAGCGGCTGGTCCAGTCCAGCCCGGGGGGCCCCAGGCCGGGATGGGCAAGGAGGACAAAGGTCGGGCCTGTGAGCCTGTGACAACATCTCGCAGCAGGACCGGGCCGAAGACCTGGCCAGATGTCGAACTCTGTTTCCCGGTGCTGCCAGTCAACCCGGGAACCTTGGCTGCCGAGATCGGGTGAGGACCAGGCACACAGGGGGTGTGGAGCCGGACCTCGCTCAGTCCTGGGCGACCACCTTTCCATCCCCTGCTCTCTAGGGCCTTCCGTGAAGCCTACACGCGAGGTGGAGGTCGGGAACCTGGAGTTCTGGCTAAGATACATCAGTTGCAAGTGGAGGCGTCAGCGCTGGCACTGCGGCGGGCGCAGAGCCACAAGGGTGAATGGGAGAGGAGGCGGTGGGGACCCCGCAGCCAGGGGAGCTGGGAGGAGAGGGTGTGTGGCAGGGCGGAACAGGCATGCAAGCCAAGCCCCAAGATAGGATGGTCTTTGTGACCGAGGCTAGAATGTGAGCTGACAAGCTCAAGCTTGTCCAGAGTCCTAGGAGTGCGGCCAGCCGGGCCGGCTGTCACAGGTGACAGGGCAAACCTGCGAATTGCAGAAAAATCAAGTGCCACCTCCCGGGATCTTCTAGTAGTGGAGGCCGAAAACCAGCTCCTGGAGGCAGAAATTCTGGCCTTGCAGATGCGGAGGGATCCTGGCCGTACACTTTGGGGTCAGTGAAAAGGGATCCTAGCCCATCCCTAAAAATGGATCGAGGGATCATGCTTGTAACAGGAGACGTGTATGCTTTGACAGATGTTCCCCCCACTCCATGCACATCTTGTGCTGGGGAGCATGTCTGTAATTACCCTCTTTCTCTACCCCTAGAGCAGGGGCAGTCAAGACTCCTAGCAGATCCTTGTCCGTTCCTGAAGGGGAGAAGAGATCCCCTGATCCTCCCTCCACATATGGCACCCCCGCTGCCACCATTTCCAGGTGCCACAAACAGTCCAATTAGTGGTGTTGCAAAGGCTGTGAGTATCCGCGGACCCACAGAGTGGGGGCTGGAGGGAGGGCAGTTCTGAAGCATGGCAGCTTGGAGGCATTCTGGACAGCAACACTTTTCCCCACAGCAGCTGCTTCCTGGAACCATGACCAAGCATCTGTGGCTTGACCCACACTCCCTGCTACCCCCATCTGATGTCTTGGGCCCTGCACCCTATGACCCTGGGTGAGGCCTTTGACAACCTCTGACTTGGCCACTATTGCTATATAAGCACACCCACTAGGACCATGCAGAGTTAGAGCAGTGGCTGGGTGGAGCGGACTTGTCATTTGCTTGTTTTGTTTATCCTACAGGGCTGGCCTTGTCATTTTCTATGACTTCCTGAGGGGCCTTGAGGCTTCTTGGATTTGGGTGCAGCTAGTGACTGGCTTGGCCAGAAATGGACAGGACACAGGAGGGACCACAGCACTGCCCCCAGCTGTTTGCCTGCCCCCTCCCCCAGCTCCTGGACCTATGGGCAATTGTGCTGTCCTTGCCAGCAGGCAGCCTGTACCCAGGTCAGTAGGTGGAAATAATTTTATCCTACCCTGAGGGCTAAGATCTATGAAACCTTTGGGAAGGGATTTAGGCACTAGTTTCTGACAATTTTTTTGGTTCTAGACTACCCCCATCACCACTGGTATCGTTGGTCTGTGAACTACAGGCCTGTCAGGGAGTGGAATGGGCCAGAGCACAACCAAAAGCTTGGACCTCGCTAGTGCTATTTGACCAAGATCAGCGAGTGCTAAGTGGCCGCTGGCGCCTCCCACTTCGAACCCTTCCTTTGGACTCCAGCCTCAGCCTTGGGCAGCTAAATGGAATTCCCCAAGTGAGTGTAGAGGTTGAGGGCAGGGTCCGCTCCAAATTACAGATGCAGTACCATTTCACCTCCCCAGGCAGGCCAGGCTGAGCTCTTTCTACGGCTGGTGAATGCAAGAGATGCAGATGTCCAGGCATTGGCAGCAATCAACCCAGTAAATGCCCATGAGTACCACTACCCACCATTGGTGAGGGCTCAACTACTGCTGGGGATACACGTGACTGTTCAGCTTCTGCTGTTCAGTGTCCTGTCAGTACCAAATGTTTTCTTCAGTTACTCCCATATTATGTAACAAAGAAATCAAAGCAAGAACATACATGTTGGGCTAGGAGAGTGGCTCACAGTGGTAGAGTGCTTGCCTTGCATGCACTGAGGCCAGTTCGATTCCACAGCACCACATAAGCAGAAAAAGCAGAAGTGCTGCTGTGGCTCAAGTTGTAGAGTGGTAGAGCTGAGGGACAGTGCCCAGGCTTGAGTTCAGACACCATGACCAAAACCAGACCAAAAAAAAAACCCATACACGTTAACTTCATTCTTTCAGAAACTGTCCCCTCTACAATCTGGCTTAGACTTGCCTTCTCGTGTTCCACAGGTGTCCAGCTCATCTTCACTGGAGGCTAACTCCCTTGCTCCCAATGCTGGCTTTGTGGATCGCGAACCTTCTGCAGAACCCTGTCAGAGTCAAGGGTGAAAGCTTTGACCAACCTCCATTGGTTTCTAGCTGAGGCAAAAGGCCTATTTTCAGCCCCGTTATCTTTTCTACTAGTGTGTTGGATGGAATCCATAAGGACACACAGTGATGAATTCTAACCATGTTTTCCTTCTGCTAACTTATTAAATTACATTATCTGGCATTTGAGACTAAGCTTTACTAACATCAGTTTTATTGACAAACTTCATTTAAATCCTAGCTTATGACTTCAATGCAAACCTTTCATCCAACATAAGAGACCCATATAGAGAATATCGGAAGCAGTTTTATATTGGGCTTAACCTCAGGTCCTAGTCACTGGGATCTCGGGGGTCAAATGTAGCATGCCAATTATGTTCTGACCAAAAAACAAACTACAAAAACCTAGAGGAGGTAGGTATACTATACTCTGTATAGTACTCTGTAGCCAAAAGTTACCTGCCCAGGCAAGTATTTCTTTTATTTGAGAGAAACAAACTGGTTCTGTTACGACACAAAATCACTGTTCAGAATCTGGACAAATATTGCCTGACCTGTTAAGTTCCCTTCCTGCCCAGACTAGCTTCAGCTTCAAACCGTGATCCTCTGATGTCAGCCTCCTGAGTAGTTAGGATTACAGGCATGAGCCACCAGTGCCCAGTCCATAAAAACTTAAATAAGCTCAGTCAGGGTCTCTCACATAAGCCCTGAATCATCAGGACATCAGTGAGAGCCTACTGTGATAGCATTATCAATGACAGCACCCCATTATCCCTGAATACTCAGAACTGCCTCTCTGTTCCGTATTCCCCACTAAATGCTCCAGGCAGCCCAGGATCCCACGGTAAGATGTTCAAACATAATTCCAGAACAGCAGCTTTTTATTAGCATCTTTATTAGGTCAAAACTGCAGACAGTGTAACATCCAAGTGTTGACATATTTCAACCTTCTGTACAGAAAATAACAAATATAACTCTAGCAGCAAGCCTCCCCCAAAGGGCTTCCCATTACATCCAATTGTTTACTATTACCTCAGTCTCAGCCCCTTTCCAACTGTGCACACCAACTGTTTTCCTTCTCCTCAGTGACCATTTCAAGTTTTCTTCAGAGTTCTTTTTCCTGGACAGTATTATGACCCAAGAGACCAGATGAACCTGATCGTTGAATCATTTCATTTTCAGCACCAGACAGCACGTGTTTTGTAGCCCCCACCCAGGGATAGCACCACTGGAAGTTACAAGACAGATGAATTCAGTCAAGTATTTGATAACAGATATATAGCACCCATGGAAGATAAAGAGCCCACAACAGCCACACGTGATCTGATCACCACATAAGACAGGAACTGTCCAACAGAGATCAATACAGAAAAGAGGGACCCTTCTGGCTATACAATATAAAAACCTTGAGAGCCCCAAGGCACAATGAAAAAAGCCATCAAAGCCTCAACCTTTGCTTACAATCTTTATTGAAGTTATACAAAAAGAATCCCCAAAAGTGAAAAAATACATTATATACAAAAACACTTTCCCTCAGGAGGGAACCTCTGCTCCCTTTCTTAACTTGCAGTGCTTTCAACTGTAGCTCCAGTATCCACTGTCCCCTCCATGGCTGACCGGCTTTCAGGCTGAAAAATAAAACAAGGAGCCTGGGCATAAGTGACTGAAGCCATTACAACATATAAAATAGAAGAAACATAGCTTGCTTCACTCCTTGCTCCAAATACTGAGCACAAGGCCCACAAAATAAAAGGCCATGTCTTCAGAGTTTTCTTTTTCAATAGGGCTGGCAGAGCCAATTATCATAGAAAAGATCAAACAAAGGTTGGCCTTGCAATTAGGCACCTTCTCATTTATTTGCAGCAACTTGTGGTACACAGGTCTCATTTATGGACTCATTCTGTATTCCATAACCCAACTATTTCTCTTGAACTTGAGCAATCCAAATGGGCTCAAGAGAGATCATGCACTTGGGAGAATTTCCCCAGAACCTGAGAAGAAAGCAAAAGGATAAGCCCTGCTTAACTGCCCACCTCCTCCTCCATGCTTTCGGAAACTTCATTTCCACCGGGGATAGCATCCCCACTGCCTCCATTCACCTCCGGCTCTTGTTTGGCTTTCTTTGCATCATCTTTCCGGGGGCTCTCTTCCTCTGGTTTTCTCTAAAGATATAATTGTGAGGGCTTCACAAAGGTACTTTTTGTTTTTAAAAGACAACAAATACAAGCTCCAATGGCATAAATGTCTTGAACACTAGTGCTGTCAGTTTTCTGTAAGTCTGTCTTCCTAGTGACAGTGTCAACCTGTCAACATACTATAAAGGCAGGGCAGGGTGGTTGTGAGGAACAGCAGTGTGAACAGTAACAAACGTAAGATGAATTCTTGTGTTTCAGTCAGTAAACAAGTAAAAGTGAGTGACTCCTAAGCGAAAAGAATTATAGGCAGAACTTCATTGCAAGTTTTGGGGATCGTTTTAAACAGGATAGCAACATACACCAAGCAGGTCTTGGACTTGCCAGCCTTGGGAGGTTTAGTACCACCATACTGCTTGCTGAATGTCTCAAAAAAACCTGATGGCTTCCTAAAATGCACTCATCTGATCAATCATCCGTGTCTGATTTCCTGATAGTCTAAGAAAATCTAGAAAGATTTTTTTTTTTTGGGTCCGGTCGTGGGGCTTGAACTCTGGGCCTGGGCGCTGTCCCTCAGCTCTTCAGCTCAAGGCTGGCGCTCTACCACTTGAGCCACAGTGCCACTTCCGGCTTTTTTTTCTTTTTGCTTATGTGGTGCTGAGGAATCGAACCCAGGGCCTCAGGCATGCAAGGCAAGCACTCTACCACTGAGCCACCTTCCCAGCCCTCTAGAAAGGTTTATATGGAACTTTTTCCTGGTATATTTTTTTGGAATTCCCAACCCTGCTACAAGTTGGTCAAAGGGTTAGAAAAGACAAATTTTACCTTCTTTCTGACAAGGTGGGAAATATCAGTCACACAATTTGATGAGGAAGCACCATCAGCTGGTTTTCTACTGGCAATCTTGACAGGAAAAAAAAAAAAAAGAACACTTTGTTAGCAGTGTCTAAGTTGTAAAACCACAGGGAGGTATAAAATACCTGAATACCTACCGTAGAGGCTGAAGAACTTCCTCCACTGGAAGTGAAACCTGAAGTAGAGCTTTCTACCTGTGAGAGATGACAACCTAAGTAAGATCCAGGAAGAATTCAAACCATACCATTTTGAGTACCTATCACTTAAGCACCTGATTAAGGAATGAGATGCTAGTGGCCTCCATGAAGTAGCAAGGAATAGGCAGAGAATAGATTTCTGCACCCACTCCCCTGCTTAGTGCTGGTCCTGGAGGTTGAATTCAGGGGCTAAGCACTGTCCCTGAGGTTCTTGTATGTAATGTTAGCAACTCTACCATTTGAACCAGTTCTATTTAGGGTGTTTTTGGCAGTTTATTGGAGGTAAGTGTCTCACAGACTTTTCTGCCTGGGTTGGCTTCTAACCGTGATCCTTAGGTCTCAGCCTGCTAAGGAGCTAGGCTTATAGGTGTAAACCAAAAATGCCTGGATGGGAATACGTATTTAACAACACCTACACGACAGCAAAGTAGGCAAAAATAAAGACCTGTAATTTAAAAGCTCACACTAGTCAGGTGCTGGTGGCTCATGCTCCTAAGGAGGCTGATATCTGAGAATCGTGGTTCAGAAAGTCTCTGTGACTTTTTCACAGCCCTTTGTGAGACTTTTATCTCCAATTCACCACCAGAAAGCTGGAAATGGTGCTGTGGTTCAAAATGATAGATCACTCACTAGCCCTTGAGCAAAGGAGCTCAGGGACAGCATACAGGCCCCATCAAAAAAAAAAAAAAAAAAGCTCATATTAACCAGGTCAACCAAGACAGAAATGTCATGTAGTAACACATGCAAAAGAACGTAGAATTTAAACCTAAACAATCTGGCTCCAGAACAAATTCTCTAACTACTGTTCTACTGCTTGATAGGAACATTAACATGAGCCTCATATTCTTATCACCAACTCTCCCTGGAAACCAAGTCACAATGAAAAGTCCCTAGCAAATGCAAGAAGAAACTAAACAAACCAGAGTAGCTTTCAGAGCCAATTCGGCTACATTCCCGCTACGCTGTGACTCCTTTGCATCTTCTATCTTCTCTCTAATTTCAGGTAGTAGTTCCTTCAGCTCCTCAATTTCTTTCTCATATTCAGTGAGTGATCCTTCAGCCTCCTTCATCTGCTCATTTAGGACAGCTACAAAGAATAGGCCATCAGTAACAATTATCACAAAAAGATCTTTTTGGTGTGTGTGCTGATCCTGGCTTTAACTCAGGGCCTGGGTGCGAGCAATTTCTTTACTACTTGAGCCACAGCTCTACTTCCAGCTTTTTGGTGGTTAACTGGAGAGAAGAGTCTCATGGACTTTCCTGCATGGCTAGCTTTGAACCATGATTCTACGATCTCAGTCTCCTGAGTGACAAGGATTATAAGAGTGAACCACTAGCACCTCCGCCGTGGCCCCCCACCCTGCCCCCTTAACCTGGTCAATTACTGGATCAAAGAAGATACTGCTCACCCATTCTCTTCTCAATAACTTCAATAGATTTACTGAACTGTGCCACTGCCTCATCATATTGAGAGTTGTATCCATAGGCCAAGCCCAGCTGGTAATGAGTCTCTGCGAGGAGACGGTCGTGGGCCTCCAGATACTGTTCTTGCAGGTTTAGGCAAGCCTGGAACTCCTCCACAGCTTGAGTATAATTCTCTAATAAAGAAAGAACAACTTAGAATTTGACAGCATTAACAGAATTCTCAAAATTCAGACAGTCATCAGGAATGCACTCTCTTTTACACTTCATTTTGTTATCTCTGAAACCCTTCACTGCACAGAAAGACAAAATATAAGAGAAGACAAAGCAGACAAAACACCTAAGCTGAACACCAGTGACTACTTGAAGTTGGGATAATTCCAATTCAAGATCAGCTGAAGCACACACATGAGATTTACTAGGTGGCCCTGGTGGTGCACACCTATCATCCCAGCTAGAACTGGAAGCCTAAGATAGGTGGACTGCTGTTCAGACACTCGCTTGGACAAGATCTCATCTCAAAAATAACCAATCAAGCTGGACACTGGTGACTCGCGCCTGTAATCCTAGCTATTCAGGAGGCTGAGATCTGAGGATCACGGTTGAAAGCCAGCCTGGGCAGGAAAGTCTGTAAGACTCTTATCTCCAATTAGCCAACAGAAAACCAAAAGTGATAGAGCACTAAGCCTTGAACTGAAGAGCTCAGGGACAGCACCTAGGCCCAGAGTTCAAGCCCCACGCAGGGTGGGTGGGAGGGGGAACTGGGAGCTCAAAGGGGGTTACTTATCTAACAAGTCTGAGGCCATGAATTTAAACCATAGTACCACTAAAAGGGGGGAACCATTAAGAGTGGCTTAGCAGCTGCTGGTGGCTCACATTACTGTGGAAGTTGAGATATGAGGATCATGGTTCAAAGGCAGCCTGGGCAGGAATGTCCACGAGAGTCTTATCTCCAATTAACCACCAAAAAGCTGGAAATGGAGCTGTGTCTCTAAGTGGTAGAACACTAGGTCTTGAGCAGAAAACCTTACAGACAGAGCCCAGGCCCTGAGTTCAAGCATCATGACTGAACCCTCCCCCCCACCCCCGAACCCTCCCCCCCACCCCCAAAAGGTGAGGGGCATGGTGCACGCTCAGATGTAGTTCAGTGATAGAACTGGATCTGATCCTTAACACCTAAAACAAGCCCACTGAAACACTGTCTAAGTATCTTACAGAAGATTGTTCACAGAGCCAGGCACTGGTGGCTCATGCTTGTAATCCTAGCTACATAGAAGGCTGAGATCTGAGGATCCTGGTTCAAACCCAGTCCAGTCAAGGAAGTCTATGAGACTCTTATCTCCAATAAACCATGCAGAAAACAGGAAGTGGTACTGTGGCTCAAGTGGTAGAGTGCTAGCCTTGAGCTGAAGAGCTGAGGGACAGTGCCCAAGCCCAGAGTTCAAGCCCC